TGTTGAATAATAATTTTTCCATGTTACCCTACTGCTTAGCTCCAATCATTTTCATTAACCTCTCCTTTTGAGCCTGGATACTGGTCCGAAGACCCAACACATCCACCGGGTGAGCAAGGGTTACAGCAGCATGAACACGCACATTCACACTATATAAGAGGGGGCCAATCCGGGTGCTCGAGGGTTGTTGTCTTGCTTGTTTTCCAGCGAACCCTCATTACCTGGATCACACCTGAACAAACCTGGACCAGGTAATCAGCAGTGGGCAGGGGTAGCTGGAAAACCAGCAGGACGGCGGACCGGCCCCCTCCGGTCTATACAGGTAGATCATGGTTCCCAGTTGTGTAAGACGTATTCACATCCTTTATGTCAGTGTAATTAATACCACAGTGCAAAGACACTCTGGTAAAATACAAGTCCTGCATTCAGAACGTTACTTAAGTTAAAGTAGTCGTTTTAAAGAATGGCACATGAACATGTAGCAGGTTTATAATTTGGTGAATTCTGAATGAACATCAAATATTTCTTGACAAATAAAAACTATCTCAACACACCAACAACCTGCTTTGTATTTTCCAAGCTTTCTACCACATCTCGTGACCTTCCTCAGTAATGGTCACATTCACACCTCCTTCATCATCAGCTCATCATTCTCATTACTCTGTCCTCTAGCGCCCCCAGCAGGATGAAGCCCGACACTGCAACACACTGTCTTCAAGAGAGAGAATTTGACCTTTGACACATTACAGATGACGCTTTAAATCTCAGGTTCACGGTACAATAAACCACAATATTCAGTCCAGTTTTATTTGTACAGTGCCCAATTCACAACAGAAGTCATCTCAACTTTACAAAGTCAGGTCTAGATTGTATTATTATTATTATTATTGTTATTATAGAAGAAAAACCCAACAAATCCCCCTTGAGCAAGCACTTGGCGACAGTGGGGAGGAAAAACTCCCTTTAACGGAAGAAACCTCCAACAGACCCCGGCTCTTGGTGGGCGGCCTTCTGCCTCGACCTGTTGGGGTGAGTGGATAGAGGAGAGACAAAAGAAGAAAAGCAACAAGACACAACAAACATTCAAACACTGGGCAGTTTGATGTGGCCAGTGACTGCTCATCAGAAATATAAAGCTCCAGAGCCAGGGCAAGCTGCAGAAAGGTACAGGGAGAGAAAGAGGACACACTACGGGAGAGAGGAGACACACAGTTAGTAATGTGTAATGGTGGCTTATAGATGCATGGAGAGGTGAGGGGAGGAAAGGAAAGGAGAGAGAGGGGAGGGGAGGGGAGGCCTATAGCAGTATAACTAAGGGAAGGCTCAGGGTCACCTGATCCAACCCTAACTATAAGCTTTATCAAAAAGGAACGTCTTAAGTCTAATCTTAAAAGTAGAGAGGGTGTCCACCTCCTGAACTGAGACTGGAAGTTGGTTCCATAGGAGAGGAGCTTGATAGCTAAAGGCTCTGCCTCCCATTCTACTTCTGTGGACTCTAGGAACCACAAGTAAACCTGCACTCTGAGAGCAAAGTGCTCTGTTAGGATGATAAGGCTCTACGAGGTCTTTAAGATACGATGGAGCCTTGTCATTAAGGGCTTTGTATGTTAGGAGAAGGATTTAAATTCTATTCTGAATTTTACAGGGAGCTAGTGGAGAGAAGCTAATATGGGAGAGATATGATCTCTCTGAAATTATTCAATTATTGTGTCTAACAGTCATAATCCAGCGTGTTCTGTTTAAAACAATTGGGTCTGTGTTGGACCCTTCACAGTCTGCCTGTTTGGAAGCATCAGTTGAGATGTGTGATCATTTTTTACTGTTTTTTTATGAGAAGGTTGCTATTATAAGGGCGTCTGTTCCAACTTCTGTTTTAGATCCTTCTGAATGTGCCCCTTGCCTGGCTGTTTTTGATGCATTTGAGCCTGTGACTCTCCCGTTTTTGGAGGAGGTAGTTAGCCAGGTTAAGCCATCTGGCTCCCCTCAAGATGCTATTCCCTCGTCTTTATTCAAGAAGGTCTTTCCTTGTATAGGAAAGCTGGTTCTGGCTATTATTAATAGCAGTATGTCTTCAGGTGTTGTCCCTGAACATTGTAAACATGCAGTTGTGCAACCTTTGCTCAAGAAACCAGGTCTTGATCGTGCTATTCTGAATAATTACAGGCCTATTTTTAAGTTGTCTTTTATTTCGAAAGTACTAGAGAAAGTGGTTTATATACAACTGAAATCCTTTTTAGATGAGCATAATGTATTCGAGGTTTTTCAGTCTGGTTTTAAAACTCGGCATAGTACAGAGTCAGCGTTGTTAAAGGTTTTTAACGATATTTACCTGGCAACAGATGCTGGTGGCTATGTGATTCTTGTTTTGCTGGATCTGACCGCTGCTTTTGACATGGTTGACCACGATATCCTAATATCTCGACTTAAGGAATTAGTGGGCATCCGTGGTACTGCCTTAGAGTGGTTCAGGTCCTATTTGTCGGATAGGACAATGTCTGTTGGGTTTGCTGATGTTGAGTCCTCATCTACCCCGTTGGTATCTGGGGTTCCGCAGGGCTCAGTTTTGGGGCCCCTGCTTTTCTCTTTATATTTACTTCCTCTTGGTTGTGTTTTTAGAAAACATGGTGTTTCTTTTCATTGTTATGCGGATGATGTGCAGATGTACATACCAATGAGGGGAAGGGACATCAGTTGTATCATTATTGTCATGTTTTAATGACGTTAAGGAGCTGGATGGCTTTGAATTTATTGAAATTAAATGATACAAAAACTGAGGGTATAGTGTTTGGCCCAAATAATTTTGGTGATTCTACCCCAGTTGATCTAGGTTGCTTGAAGCAGTATGTGCAGTCGACTGTTACAAGCCTGGGTGTCAAAATAGATTCCAATTTTAGATTGGAAGGTCAAGTGAACACGGTTGTAAGGGCTAGCTTTTTTCAACCTTTGACAGCTGGCAAAGGTAAAGCCTTTTCTTTCGCGGCAGCACTTTCAGACAGCAATACATGCGTTTATTACGTCACACCTGGATTATTGTAATGCGCTCTATTTTGTCCTTAGTCAGACGTCCCTTGCCTGTCTTCAGATAGTTCAAAATGCAGCTGCTCATTTACTGGCTGGGGGGCGCAAACGGGAGCATATCACTTCCATTTTGGCTTCTCTTCACTGGCTGCTGGTGTATTTTAGAATCCATTTTAAGATTATTTTATTTGTTTAAAATAAGTCTTTAAATGGTTTGGCCCCCTCTTACACAGTTGTTGTGTCCCTACAGTCCTCCTCCGTGCCTCAGATCAGCTGATCAGCTGCTTCTTGAGATACCGAGGGCTAGGCTGAGACTTAGGGGGGACAGGGCTTTTGCTGTGGGGGCTCCAAAGTTGCGGAATTCATTGCCCGTATACATCAGTTAGGCCCCCTCGTTGTCCATTTTTAAAGTGTATTTGAAAACTCATTTGTACCTTTTGGCATTTGAACCGGTATGAGGCTTTGTTTTGTTTTATGATTGGTGGTGGTTTAATTGTAATTTTGTTTTATTGTTGTGTTTTGTGTTAAGCACTTTGGTCAGCTGTTGCTGTGTTAAATGTGCTATATAAATAAAGTTGATGATGATGAGATATGATCTCTCGTGTTAAGATAGTGAGATACTGTATCTCAGGAATCCCAGCACAACGCGACACATTCCGGGAAGCAATAATATCACAACAAAGGTTGAAGTCTTCAGAACCAGAGCCAGCAACACACAGGGAAGGTCAAAGGTCAAAGGTGTTTATTCATCATATGCACAGTTAGGAAACGTGTTTCCCTCTACAATGAAATTCTTACTTTGCCGTCCACATGAATGCCACAAAATACAAATGAAATATAAAGTAGATAAATAAGTAACACAAAATCTAAGGCACTTTAAGCAGCAAATGC